GCGTATGCTCATATTACCTTCTATTATATTCTTAATTCATACTTTCTTCTTAGTGATAAGGTTTGAAACGGTTTTCACCTTTGCAGAGGCAGATGCAGATCCCGGGGTTTGATCCCCAGACCTTACCTCACCCATGTACAGTATCGAGCTGACCCCTACGTATTTGAACCCGTGACCTGTGTATTCGCAAATCGTTGGTAGGCTGTTGTAGGTCCATAGGTTGTAGGGGATTCAATCGGTAGACCTGTCGGATAGGAGTCTTAGTGAGTTCTAGAAGTCGTAGTTGTAGCTCCTCTGAAGGGTCAAGGTCGTAGCTGCTACAGTACTGAGAGGCCAAGTCCTCGGTCTTCCGGAAGGTCCGGAAGTGGCCTTCCAAATTTCCCCTCACGTTTTACATAGAGGGCCAGAGGCAAGTGGGCAAGTGGTGTGCCCAACTTCGCTTAGTCAGTGGTACCCAGTCCCAGTCTCACTTTGCACATTCATTCATTCCTGCGGAAGCCATGTGGAAGCCATGTGGAAGCCATGTGGAAGCGCTGCCAGGGTGACTTGTGCCCAGTCCCAGTCTCACTTTGCACATTCATTCATTTCTGCGGAAGCCATGTGGAAGCCATGTGGAAGCGCTGCCAGGGTGACTTGTGCGAGGTGGTCTGCAGAGAAGCCTGAAGTCGAAGTGGGCCACACGGAGTTAGTGCAGCCATAGCGGCTTGTAGGTTAGAGTTAGTGGCGGCCATAGCTGCCATAGCTTCGTGTTAGGTGTGTGTGTGTGTGTACAGCGTGTGTCCATGGGGTATCCAGGGTGATCCGGAGTTGAAGAGTGAAGCAAACAGTGGTGTTGGACACAGAGACAAGAGTTGCGTTGTGTGGGTGCTGATGCACCATAGCCTGTTTGAAGCGAGATTGCATCTGAACTGTGTCTTGGTCCATATCTTCGAGCTTTGAGTTAGGCGTTATGCGCCAGTGTGATTCACCATCTGTTTGTATGCATGTGAAGTGACGAAGTATGTGAGTCTGATTGCACTGATATCGGAGCTGGAACCCGCTACTCCACGCGCCAAAGGGCGCCGAGGTGAAGAGCGCCGTTGAAGAAGAAGGTCCGCCACAGCTGCGCTGCGGAGGTGTACCTGCACACAGAGAACAACAGTCGAGATAGATAGATAGATAGATAGATAGATATATAGATAGATAGAGAGAGAGAGAGAGAGAGAGAGAGAGAGAGAGAGAGAGAGAGAGAGAGAGAGAGAGGGAGAGAGGGAGAGAGAGAGAACTGAGCGATACAAGATTGGTTGTGCAGTCCTCCGGAGGAGGAAGTAGCGGCCATAGCCGCGGAGCTCCGACACGGAGAAGATGATAGAGGAGGCGTAGACGTAGGAGGAGAGAACAAAAAAGGAAGGAGAGACATCGAGGTGGAAGACAGACATAGCCGAGGGTGAAAAAAAAAAAAAAGGAAGAAGGTGAAGGAAGAGGAAGAAGAAGACAAGGGTGGCGAAGAGGAAGGTGCCGGCAGCCATAACCGAGGTGGAGAGTTGACCGGGGGGTTGACCGGACGTTGATCGGAGGGTTGACCGGGGTCTTACCGCGTTGACCAAGCGTTGACCGAGGAGTTGACCGGCGACATTGACCAAGACTTTGACCAAGCTGGAGTTGGTAATATCTCGCCAAGCCCTCAACCTATCCCCTTACCCTATGGATGTGCACTCACCCGATGGTACTTGCTGAGTCTGAGTCTCTTTTGTCTAAGTGATAGGACTCCGTGAATGAAGGATAGGCCTTGTTGACCAAACCCACCCGGGCTGAGTAGGGCTAAAGACTGTGTCTGACGACTCGACTGTTTTCTGGAGGACACGAACCCTCCCAAGGACCGGTACTGACCGGCGGGCTGCTCGGTGTGGCACGGTAGGCCCAAAATCCGAGTTGTGGGTTGTACAACAGGCAGTCTATGTTTTGAGAGGATCTGCTGACCGCGTCGTCCTGTCTGCGACGTTAAAGAATTCCTAAGGAGTTATGGGGGATCTCCTTAAATGCCTCCTGGTCGGTAAATGATCCTGTAGTGACTGCTTTAGTATCTAGAGTCTAGGCTAGAGACCATAGCTGACAGGGTCCCGTAAAGACCCTGTGGTCCTTAGAGAGTCAGTCAGTGTCCGGGTCAGTCTAAGTGGTGAGGAGTAGGACAGTCCCTGTCGTGCAGAGGAAGATGATGTGGACGACCAGCCACTGGAGAGAAGAAGGAGATGGCTAAGAGGACAGTTCAGTGGGACTAAAGAAGAGGAAATGGAAAAGAAGATTTCAGAATGGGTTGCAAATTTGTCTCTGGGAGAAGAAGAGGAAGCTTCAATGTATATCCCTAGGGACGAACAGGAGGCGGCCGCACAAGAATGGGATGCAGAAGAGGATCCTTTAAAGCGGCAGGCTATGGAAGACGAGAAGAGGATGGAGTGGAAGTTCAGGATAATGAGGGAAAAGAAGAAGAGGGTAGATGCAGCGAGCGAAGCGGTGAAGGAACTAGCTGAATTGAGGAAGCTGAGGGAACAGTTAGCCGCACAGGTAGACCTCCAGCAGAAGATGGAGGTCATGGCACTGAACATCGAGCGATTAGCAAGGGCCCGGGAGGACCAATATGAGTTCAGTAGGAGTCAAGATCTGGTTGTGCGCTCTAGGCGACTTGGGTTCCGGGATTTCGTGCGTGAGTTAGTAACGGCGATAGGCTCAAAGGTGAAGATTCGCCTCGAGAACACTGAGCGTTATTGTACGGGCGCCATAGAGGGCGCCAAGCTGGCTGCTCCCAAGGAGGAGGAGGCACGTCCCCGTAGAGAGCCCGTCAAAGTCAAGTTTCCTGATTCCTACAGTGGGAAAAAGGAAGAAAACGTTGACAATTGGGAGGCCAACGTTAAGACGTGCGTGCATTTGCATGACGAGCATGTTCTCATCGCTATCCATGCGCTCAAGGATGAAGCCGCCAGCTTCGCACGATCCCTAGTCCACGCTGCTAATTGCAATGATGATGTTGTTGCTTATTCTGCATTCACCCCCCTCACTGACTTCCTTAAATTGCTGCGCGAACGATTTGCAGATGTCGCCCGCAGTGTTAAGGCCTCTCATCGTCTACAAACAATCCATTCCCAGCAGTGGAAGAGGGCTAAGGCACTCAAAGGTACGATGGATGAGTTAGTGGTTGTTCCTGACCACGGGGTCACAGAGACCCAGTTGGTCAACCTCTTCTACCGGGCTATGCCCGAAGCGTTGCGTGGCCACTTCTTCGAGAAGACCCAGCAACCCACCATGACCTATGACGCGTTGAGCAGGGAAGTGGTGGCATTTGAGGCAAGGTCTATGTCAGTTTCCACTTTCTGGCATAAGGACCTAGATAAGGGAAAAAGGTGGAAGGGCCACACTATCTCAGGGCAGGTAAAGACCAAGGATCGTGTGATCCTTACCTTGGATGAGGGTAGTGTTGATGAGGTCCCCTACGATCAGATTGAGTGGGGGCTAGAGGACAATGACAGTAGCGTGAGCCAGGGGAGGACTTACGCTGCTGTCGCGGCTGGAGAGAGGCCGCAAGGAGGAGGAAGAGGCCAGGGCCAAGGGGGCCGGTGTCGGTGCGAATACCCTGACAAGGGTATCCGCCGTAGTTTTTGCAAGTAACAGGAAGTAAGTTTGAAAATCTAAGTATACCGCGCGAGACACGGCTGAGTCTGTTGGGTTGTGCTAATAGGATGGCTGACTAAAGTAGAGCATGAGTGGGCGCGCAGCCTTGAGGCGCGCATGTGATTTCTCCGTTTGATTAAGCTGCTGACTTAGTTGGCCGGCCTGATTTGGATTGTTATTAGGAATAAAAGTTTTTGTTCTATTTAGGACGGTTGACCAATGATAGACCTGGCGTACTAGGTGGGGCGCGAGGTAGCTACGACGTGAGGGGGCAAGCCAGCACGGAGGCTTAGTGACCGCGTGCTTAGCTAGAAGAAGGGGATAAGGCCGGGCTATTTTCCTAGGCCAGGGGCCGTGTAGCAGGATTCTGCGCGGGCTGGTACCAGGCTTGGGCTTAGCCCTATAGGTTACGACACTGGACATACATGACGGAGATGCGGGGATCGAGACCAGCAGGCAGCAGGGCGGACCAGCGGACCAGCACGAAGAAAGTCAGGGGGGGTCGAGGGCCCGTTGGGGCTATCCCCCCCCGACTTTTGCTGATAAGCGCGCCGACGGGTGCGACCCACGGGAGTGGCCAGATCCCTGAAATGTCCGTTGTGGTAACGCTGTGTTCTTTATTTTTATTTTTTTTTCTCTTTTGAGATTTCGTTTTGCTCCGTTCCCTTTCTTGTGGGGCTCGGGGCAGTGACCGGGTCCTTCGGGACATTCGTTAAAATTGGAACGGGGCAGGGAAGGTTAGCATGGCCCCTGCACAGTCGGATAGCACGCATAAACCGCGCGGGGTGCATGCGGGGCAGGGAGAGCGGAGCTGTAGGAAATGAACCCGGACGTGGGTCTTGCCGGGTTCACATGGAAGCAAGGCAGGCAGAGCGGGTAGCGCAGCGGGCGGCGGGCGCTAGTGAGAAAAGACAGGCAGCTGCGGAGGCAAGACGAGACAGCGCAGCTGCGGGCTAACATGAGAGATTGGTCGTGCGGCTGTACTGCGCGTCGGTAAGGGCCCGCCACAGTCGAGCGCAGCCTGAGCTTCAGAGAGACTGAGGCGGGGCATGGGTGTCGCGAGGTACGAATGAACCCGGGCGCGATATTGCGCCGGGTGCATTCGACAGTAGGGGCGAGCGGATGCGGGCTGGGTGATCGCAAAAGAAAGAGTTCGCAGTTCACTCGCTTGTTGGTAGAAAGAGGGCGGGGAGAAGTTAGACTAAGGTTCGAGAGGCAGACGAGTCCGGTAGTGATGTCTGTTTAGAGAATAGAGTAGCGTGGGAAGACCAAGAAGGGGACTGGACTGCGCGAAGTAGTTGGAGATGGCGGGGTGGTGAGTCGAGTGGAGTAGGATGAACGTAACTCTCTGGATCCTTAGTGGGATCGAGAGAGGTAGGAGGTGATCCAGGGATTTTTGCCCCGGGCGAATCCAGTGGTGCAGTCAGTTTAGCGAGAGGGTGATCAGGGCAAGAGCTAGCACAGAAGTCAGCGCGCGGGAGAAGGCGGACAGCGAAGGAAAAGGAAAGTGAGGATGATATGACTCGGTCATTTCAGGTCTGATTTCTACGATCTAAGGTGCGATTTCGGGGGTTTGGAGTGCGGCGAGTGCGATAGTGTTGTCGGTTTTGGCTGAAGGTTAGTGATTTTGATGAAGCAAGTGTTGGGGGCTGCGTGAATGGGAGAAGAAAGTGGCGAGTGGGACAAAGTGGGGGTATGAATGACTTCGGACGGTGGGGAGAGTGACCGAGGTTACAAAGAGCGGGGTTGAGATTACGAGGGGGGAGTGAAGAGAGGTAGGGGATACGTACCTGACAAGTGTGTAAGGGAAAGCGTTGAGGTGGCGACGTATCTCCCCCTGTTCTGGCGGTAGAGAGAGTCGAGTTGTGACCCGCTTCTTGATAGAAGCGGCGTGAGGACGACCGCGGGATTGGAAGTTTATTCGGTGACGGTGCATGGCCGTTCTTATTTAGATAGTGGTATGGGCAGCGCTGCCGAGCTCGTAATATGGTGAATCTGTCCGGCATGTCGTTCGGCCTCGGACTTCCGACGCTGTGTGCCTCCATGCCGATCATTACCGTCACTGCTGTGGTCGTCATCATGGTATTCGTCTCCGGAGTGCTCAACCAACCGGTACATCGCGCTTGCTCGGGGGTGGCCAATGTTCGTACGGCTCTGCTGTAGACTCGTTATTCTAAGCGCATTTTTCTGCAGGGCAGTGAAAAAGAGCATCCTAAATTTCGCTCATTGATCACTGAAATAAAGAGCGAGAGGATGGGTCGAAGACATGCCTATTGGGTGGTGCGTTGCTCATCTGAGCGATAGTGTAGCATAAGGCCGCCCGCGAGGTTGCAAACTCACCATTAGCCAGTGTGTTGCATTTCTGTTGGTCGACGCTGGAGTAGAGAGGCGAGCTGTGGAACTGCGGGCCTGCTTAGTAGCCGGTGTGCTACCTAACCCCACCGAGCGAAGGGACGAGCGAAGGGACGAACGAAGCAGCTAGTGGCCTGGTAGCGGTGCTGACCTTCTTATTGGGGGGAGGCAGCGGGCAGCCGAACCTTGAGTTGCAGTGACCTGGCGGGCACCGCCACGCATCTCGTTTGGTTCTGCTAGCCGTTACGGCCTGGTGCAGTTGCTACGGTCGGCCACAGCTTGCTACTAGCCGCGCTATGGCAATGAGCTAGTTGACTGTGCCATCCCCATTGCTGCTACTCAGGCCAGCTGCGTAAGCCGGGTGTTGCTGTGTCTTGGCTGAAGGACCGACTGTATTGCCCTGTCGATGCTGCTGTTGCAGCGAGTGCTACGGCTACTACGGATCTTGGTGAATTACTGATGTGGTACAGGGGTGAGGGTACTGCTGCAGTTGCTATTTGGCCACCGTTGCGTACTACTACTGTTGATTGTTGCTGGGGACCGTGCTGGGGACTGTGCTGTTGCTGTGTTCGGTGGCCGGGCAAGGACAGCGTTCGCTACTGTTCTTTTTCTTGACTGCGCACAGCATCCACTGCCGGCTGCTGCACCTGGGGGCTGGGCACAGTGGCGGCTACTGATGGACTGTGCATGAGCTTTGGATGAGAGTTGCTGTTACTGTGGGCTGTGCACGGGCCACTGCTGCATACAGTACGCAAACAGTTGCTGCGGACTGGGCACGGGCTGCTACTGTGGCTGCTGGCCACCGCTGTGTACTGCTGCTGCGAATAACTACTGCTGTTGCTGGTGATGACTGCTTAAGTATGGCTGCTGCATGCTGCAAATGACTGCTGGCTGCTGCATACTGCAAATGACTGCTGTGGGTTGCTGTTGATCAACGCCGAGTACTGCGGCTGCATCTAAGAGTTATTTCGGGCTGCTGTGCGGCTGTGGTTGGACTGCAAGAGGGGCTGTTGCTGCTGCATGGTAGCATGGTGGTAAGGGGAGTTAGTGCTACGAATTAGGAGGTCGTCAGGGGGTTAGATTCGGCGATTGACTTCAGCAGTTTGACTATGGGTCTGGATCAAGCTGTTAGTTGGCCATCATTGTGGGGCCCTCAGGCGATTGACGACAACAAGGCTCTCGATCGCGAGTCTGAGTGCACCCCCCCTTGGATCTGAGAGTCTCAAACCTTTCTCTATCTGCCCTTCTAACTCTAAGTCTAGTCTGTTGGTTACGAGAGGAAGGCGGCAGGCGGGATTGCAACCTGTAGGACCGCATAAAGACTCTCTGGGGAGTCATCCCACCGATTGCGGGAGCTCTGCCGGAACCTAGGCGAGGTTCTAGAGGCAGGGAACCATCAGGTAATCCATCCTTACCTATACAACCCACTACACCCATGTTTGCCTATTCCACCTATAGCTTGATTGATGTATGCATGCCTACCCCTATGATTCTTACTTTCTCTTCAGGATATAACCAGACTAAGTAAAGGAATGCATGTATAATGTCAATTTCAACTTCTTTGTATGATTGGAAGCAGATTATGGGGTTGCATCTGGGGGAAGGATGGGAGAAAGGCAGTATTGCATGACGTTTGACCGGGTCAACCAAAGGCTGGGCCAGTTCCATAAGTTTGGGAAGGCCCAGTACTGTGTTTTATTTTGTGTTGCCTGGGGAACCAGACATATCCCATAAGTTTGGGTGGTCTGGTTGCTCTGACTTGTGAGGGCTGAATGTGATTGCTTTTTCAGGGGCCAAGCATGTTCCATAAGTTTGGGTGGCTTGGTCGCCTTGTTTACTTGGGGTTTTGTCAGTTTTATTAGTTTCTAAAACGAGGAGGTCTGAGCATGTTCCATAAATTTGGGTGGCTCAACCTCTTCTTGCTTTGGCTTTTGGGAGAAAGGAACCAGGCTGAGGACCAAGACATGTTCCATAAGTTTGGGTGGTCTTGGTCCAACGCCTCGCACATACTGGAACCAGAAGGTTATAACTTTGTTATACTCTATTATTATACTATCTATGAACAGGCTAGTCAGAGAGGGTTCCATAAGTTTGGGTGGTCTGACTATAGCCTATCACCAACTGCAGAGAGTATTAATTAAGAATAAACTTGCGGTACGAAGGGGCAGGCTAAGTCTTGAGCTGAAGATGATCGGCTCAGTTATATGCTACCTCAAAAGACTAAGTGCAGACAATTATATAAACTTTGGATACTTAAATAGTTAAGGGCGGCTAGGGTGGCCTAGTGTTACATGCTGAGCCTGACACACGGGCCCATTTTCGGGCCCGACGGTTGTTGAGGGCCCCTAGGCCGCGCGCCTGTTCCAAGCACGCGACCTGGAGGCCCACGGCCATTGGACAGGCCGTAGGTACAGATTTGAGGCAGCAGTCATTCATTTATTTATTTATTTATTTATTTACTTATGTGTGCTGCTGTTTGCCTGTTCTATTTTTGTCTGTTTCAGGTGACGTTTCGGACTTGCAGTTCGTCCGAACAGATCTACGATCTGTTCGGACCAAGGCCACGTTTTTGGCCTCCTCCATTCGTGGCCAGGCCCTTTTAGGCCAGGTTCGCTTTTGTCTGGTAGCAGACACTCCCTGCTGCATCAGCAGGGAAGGCCTGGACGTCCGATAGGGACCCAGGCAGGCCGTTTTTAGGCCAGACCCAGGGACAGGACTTTTCCTTGCGACCTGGACCATGGATCGGACCTACGATCTCACGGCCCAGATCGCAGGTCGAGGGTACAGCACCACGGCCCAGCACTACTTATAGCTGGGCCAGCTCCTGGGCAAAAACAGTTTGAGTAGCTCA